AAAATTATTGACAGCGATTACCCAAATCCTTATTCAAATAGTGAAATGTGAAAAGCATCAAATAGATTCTTGTTTACTGATAACAAATAAATAATTGTATAGACATAACATATTTGTTTTGACATGAGACTATAGTATTTTATGATTTGTTTTTTTTTTGTTATCCAATGAAAAACTATTTAGATCCATATGATTCCTCTTTTGGCGTTAATTTTTCATGGAATGTGATGACAATTGTTGATTATTTTGCGAAATAAAATGAGCTGTCATTTTGACGAGTAATTAGTCTTTACAAAGCATTTTCTGTTCCCATTGTTTAGCTCATAATTGGATGAGAGGAAGTTAAAAATACAGTAAACTTTCATAGAGAAACCTAGATACCTGGCACTTCTTTGAAATAATTCACATACTGAAGCATTATTTCTAAGTCACTTTCTGCCCTGGAAGTGTACAACTAGTTGAAATCTCAAAAGACGACAGTAGAAACCTGCTTGTGTACCGCGATTAGGGTGATCTAGATTTTAATTTTAGTTATTTTATAGTCGCAAATGAGGTATAAGATCGTGAATTAGTTATACTCCTAATGACTCCTAATCATGATTTCTTCTATGAGTACTTTTGATGTATAAAATTTTGATTGAATTCAGAGTATTTATTCTAATAATGACATAAACAAACTACAAGAATAAACCAATATCGATTTGTAATAATTCTTGAAAAGTAGACGATTGAAAAAGGCTAGAAAATTGATAATACAAGACATGAATTCTCTTTTATGATTTGAGAATATCATCATTGATGTTTTTCTTTTTTTCTGGAAACCGATGAGAAGCAATGAGTAAAATCACATTATCAAGCAAAGAGTCGTCAAACAGAGAAGATAAAAAAAATTCCAATTCTATAGAAGTTCATTATCTACTCTCCAACGATAAACGCAACAGTTTCATTGAATCTAAAAAATCAATACACATGATTCATTTACTTCATATTTTACAATAATATAAGATCAGATAATCTGTATCGAAGTGTAGTATTCATTTTTGATTCAATTCAAATAAACTTTAATCAAAATGAACAGTCTCATATAATCATCAAGATAACAATCAAAGTTTTGCATATTTCTAAATCATATTTGATATATCACTCTCAATTTAGGATAACAAAGATCATTTACAGTAATTTTTTGTCGGAGAGAGAGAGTTATAGTTTTATTTTAAATAATAAACGTAAAGTGAGACATGCAAGATATAGGCAATGCTACTTAGGGGGAAACACAAAAACAAACAACACAAAACAAAACAAAAATAGGAATGAGAAAAATTGCACTGATATAATAGGATTTAGATCTATGACAAATATAAACACCGAGTAAAATGAAGGATCAAATAATTTGTATAATGTTTTTACAAAAAAAAGAAAATATTTCTTATTCTTTTTTTATCATTTATTCGATAATTTAAATATTTGTTCGATTTGTTTTTCTGACCATGGTTGTTGCCATTTTAAATAATGTTGAAAAATTTTTAATGAATGTCCTTTATTATTAAGAAAATTCGATAAACGTTGTTTAAAATTTTCTTCCATATTGCCATGTTTTGATGATATATGTAAATTAATACATTCACGTGATAAAACAACAAAAAATTGTTCATGTGAACAAGCATGACAACGATAAAAAACATTATGTGTTAACCATTCTTTTGAAATTTCATTAGAAGATAAAATAACCGGTTTTGTTTCAAAAGATGGATTCATTTCTGTAATTATTTCAGTTTTTATTGAATTCTTACGTGTACTCATTCGTGTAGGTTTTATCAATGAATTTTCATCAATTCGATTATTTGACTTGGAATTTTTTTTACCTGAAGATGTTTGTTTTTTATTATTAGTTGATTCATTTATTATACGAATACGAGGTCTTTCAATAGGAAAACTACTAGATTGATCATTTTGTATTGGTTCTAGTTTTTGTTTTTTTAAAAAAATAGGACTTGAACTTCGGTTCGCTTTTTGTTCTTCAACGATTGGAATAAAAGTAGTTTGAATTGGTTGTGTACTTATTTGACTAAAAATATTCAAATATATGAGATTAATGATATTTAACTAAAGTAGTTTTCATCTAATCGAGAAACACATTCGAAATAATTCATTATTTTTGTGCTCATTTTTTGATCATTTCAATAAAATCTCTATATTACAAGAATTCGACTTCAGGAAACTTTTCGATAGAGATTCAGAAGTTAACAATTTCAGCCATAATGATGGCATTTTGTTAAAATATTCAACATTTACAAATTGATTAGCTTTCAGAAGTAGTCATAAAAAATTATGATTTTTAAAGGGTTGAATATTTCAAAATATCGATTCTTTTAACTGAAACTTCGAGGATTATGGGACTTACGAATACACATCATTTCAGATTGAAAATTCTCTGTTGAAATTTTCTAGCGATACTTTCATCTACGGTAAAAATTGAAGCGTAACTTTCACACTTCTCAGAAGTCGAATCCATTTGTAACAATTCTAATTTATAGATTTTCTGTATATGACTAAAATACTTCAAGTGGATTTTTCGAAAGTCGAACAGTTATTTCTTTTTGGATTTGGATGAAAAAATTCTAACTTAGATTGTAGAATTCGGACTTTTCTAGAAGTGTAAAAAGCGCAAGTTTTTTCTCTGAAATATAAAGCTTATGAATAGGGATGTAGAGGACTAAGCTTTTTTGATTCTTAAAGTTATTTAAGGTCCGCCCCCCCCGCTCAGAAAAGTCAATTTTGGTCAAATTTATCGACTTTGTGGTTTATAACTCATTAGATAGAGCTAAGTGCCTACTCTCGAATGAACTATAGTTGATTGATTTTATCATGAGATTTAAGGATATTACATAGGTTTTTCCGAATCCCCATATTGAAAAAAAAAAGGTTTTTAAAAACTTATTTTTCGTTTTTCTCAAAATCAATTTTTTCGAGCATACCGTTTACGCTGGCAAGGTTTTCTTGATAATAACTCAATACATAAGTAATGATTATTTTTAACGCATAGTAGACAGGCAGGGCTAGATCCTCCCAGGATCCGATTTTTGAATTCCTCTTTTGGTGAAATAAAAACCTTAGATATTTTATTTTTTAGTAGAAATTTTTTGGGCATGATTTCGTGAATTTTACGAAAAAAGTTTTTTAAAAAACAAACAAAGGGAAATTGAAAAATCGGGCCCTGGGAGGATCTAGTCCTAAGGATACTCTACAACTTGAAAACTGGCTGGGCTTGGTAGCTCGTATCCTTATTGCGAAATCCTTGCCCGCGTACAGGATACTTTTAACCAATAAATTGACTATAACTCATTATTTTATGGGAGATTTGGGGAGATATTTTAATCATAATCTCTTCTAGCCTAGACTAACATTCTCTGAAATTTTGGTTGAAATCGGATGAAAAATAACAAAGTTGGTTTCTGAGGGGGGGCCTTAACAAATTCAACTTTATTTTTAGAACTTGTAAGTTCAAACTTTGATTGAATAAATGTTTTTTTTTAATATTATCAACATACTCTCTTGATTGTTGATGATTTATTAAAGTTAAATCAGATTGCACCGGATGTAGGATTGAATTATGCATTTCATTATTTTCCATTTGAACGAAATTATTGTTTATGGTTATTGATGATAAACTATTATCTGTTTGTGTTTCCGAATGATGATCATTATTGTCAATTTGAATATTAGTTGATGATATTGTTTGATCATATCGTCGAATTTTAAATGGTATTGTAATTTGTTGATCATTATGTTGAAATGTTTGAAAATAATTTCTTTTAAAATGTTTTTGTAAATTTAATGAATAATCTGTCATTGTTTGTCGAAGAATATTTATAAATGAATATGCTGTATATGATACATGTTGTTGATTATCATTACTATTTATAATTATTTGAAATTCTTGACTAGCTATTGAATGTATTAAATGAAAATAAATATTAATATCAGAAAAATAATTATGAAATAAATTATTTGTTGATATTTTAACTAATGTATGAAAATTAGGATCAAATATTAATGGATATGAATTATTTGCATTTGTATTTAATCGTTGACGTGAATTAATTTTTGTTGGTAAATTTATTGAAAAATTTTCTTTATTAAATATTAATGAATTTGTATGAGATTTTTTTGTTGTTGTTGTATATTGTTTTTTTAAACGAGCTCTTTTAACACTTGCATAAAAATTGTTTTGTTCACGTCGAGAATATTTATATATATGATATGATAATGATGATTTTGTATTTAATGTATTGAATAAAATTTTTTCTTCAAATTTATTATTATTATTATTGATTAGTAAAGAATTAGTTGTATTACAAATTGAATCTTCAAATGATAATTTTTTCGAACAAGTTATATATCCAAATGATAATGGTATTTGTAAATATGTATTTGTTTTATCTTTTGGTTTATATGAAATACATTTATCATTAAAACGATGTAATTTTACCACTAAGAGAAATTAAAAAAACAAACAAAAAGAAAATGAAAAGATTAGAAATAAATAAATAAATTTACTGTGAAGTAAATCATAATCTGTTTTATTAAGTCGTGGTAAACTAATTGTTTCAGCATTTCGTTTAGTGGATTTTTTCATATGACAATACGAAAAATGAGATAACAGGGAAGAACGATTGCAAAATTCATCAAAACAAAAATGACAGATGAATTTTTGATGTACTAGAACAAAACAAAAAAGAATTTAAAGAACAAAATAATAAAATAAAATAATTTCATAGAAAATTAATATATAAATCATCATACCTGTAGATGAAGCCATCAGATCTGAATACTAGAAAAATAAATAATCACCGGAACTGTTCAATAATAACTTCTATTCATAATCTACAATCAGACAACACTAATAAGAAGAACAAAAAAAGAATTTAATCAAAAAAAGAAAAAGCTAAGAATAATTGAATCACTATTTGAAAAAAAAAAAAGAAAGAATATTTCTATTTCTATCGATAATCTGTTATATTATTTGATATTGATGTATGTTGATCAAATTTAAATGTATCAATAAAATGTCCAGATATTTTTTGTTTTAATTTATGAAATAAATTAATATGTCTTGAATTAATTTGTGTTTGTTGATTTAAATCATATTCTAATTGTTCAATATGATTTAAATCTTTTGCTTGTACAGCTAATGTTATTGATTGTAATAAATAAAAAAGTGTTTCATCTAAATATGACATTGGTATATTTAATTTTTCATATGATTCCCATGTATATGCATCTAAAGTTTTTGCATAATCCGAACGAAGACGTTGTGGATGTGGTTGTAATATAAGTAATAGAAAAAGACGTAAAATATCATAGGATGCTAATAAACGTCGATAACTTATATCATTTATTGATGTTTTTATTAAACGTTCAATAAGATTTGTTATTGTTTGTAATGCTAAATTATAATTTTCATTATCAATACGTATATTAATTAAACGTTGATATATACATATTTGTATTGATAATAAATCTTGAAATGAATCTAATGCCATAGAAAAAAGACGTTCACTTTCATGAAATTTTTCTAATATTTCTAAATGTAATCCAACTTGAAATGTAATTAAACCAGCTAAATAACGTTCATTTTGTTCACGTAAATTTTTTTGTGCTAATTGATATGTTGATAATGCTAATGATAAATTTTCATGATATGATAATGTATTTGTATCATGTAATTGTAATTCAATTTCAATAAATATTGATGCAGCTTCAAGTAACATTTGTAATTCACTTGTTGAAGATTTTAATTCAGAAAAACAACGTGATGATTGTATTAAACATAGACCTGCATATTCAAGACAATTTTCTTGACGAAATTGACGTGATAATATTTGAAAATCTAGTGCTGCTTCAGCATATTTTGGTTTACGACTTGCAACAACACCAAAACGAACTTTTTTTAATTTACTATATATTGTACACAGCGTTTCTAATGGCAGGTGTACCCAGCAGAAGTAAAATATACGGGACACCTGCTATTACAAAAATACACGCTGCGGTACACTTGCTTAAAAAATTAGAGTGTACAAGGTACACTTTACCAAGTGAATATACACTTTGTTTTTTTATATATTGAGAAGTATTTTCATTCTTACACATTTGCTCTGAAATCATCGATAATAGTGGCATCTTTTAGTCCTCTCTGTGATTT